AAGGAAGGTGCAGTCAGGGACAGGAGGGGTATAGAGGCCAGTGGGGCTGGGGGTATACACAGCCAGCTGTAGATCACGATAAAGACCTGGGGAACTTTCCTCCTGATGGACTGGGGACCACTCAGAAGCACTGGTAACCCTACATCATGCGGTAGGAAGAGGGGGCAGATTTGATACTTACCTCCCCCCTGCCCTGGTTCCTCTGCAAAAGTGGCACGTTTAGCAGGGAAGTACTCAGGGGTCTGCAGAATTTCCCTTGTGCCTGGTTCCTGGACCAACTAGGGGCTCTGGCTTCGCTTCCCTTGACCTTCAGACAAGCTGGGCCTCTGGGGAGACTCCCTGGTGTGGGAAAGAATCCTTTCTAATTTGCGCTGTCACTGCTCAAGGACACTCGGGTTCAGTCTTATTTGGAGGGAGAGTCTTTCTCTACCAGTGGAGACGTCAATCTTATTATTAACTCCCAACAGTGTGAGCTTCCTGGGCACAGGTTGCTTGTCTGATACCGTGTGGGGTGCATCACGAGCTCCCCATTCCTGTAACCGTCCTAAGTATCACCTTCAGCTGACTTCCACTCACAGAGACCTCATGATTATCAGAGTAAATCTGTCCTCTGTTAGGGTTTCTGTGGCTGCTTTACCAGAAGTGATTTGCCAGGCCTTTTTTTGGAGGTACCTCTGAATGGACTCAAACCTCCAACCTCTGGTTTAGCATCCAAACATTTTAACTGTTTGCCCTGCCCAGGGACTCACCTCGGGTCTGGTTCCTCTTGTTTCCTCCATTTATGGTGCAGCAGAAGAAATGAAGGGTCTTGGATGCCATGGGACCCCACTGGCCTGTGGCTTCAACATCAGCATTTATAGGGTTAAGGCACAGCCCATGCCATGGCCTCCAACACAGACCAAGCTTTGGGGTGAGAACTTTGAGAGAATCTCCAGTGACAGTTTCACTTAGTCCATGGCACTAAGATGAAAATAGGATCAGTGAGGTGGAGGGATTTGTCCAGGAAGCGATAGCCCTTGTACCCCCAGGTTCCGTCCCCTCAGGAATGTCCAGGATCAGCCTCATTCCCTAATTGAAGCACCCCTCCTGCCCACCCCCCCTAAGCCTGCTGACAGCTCAGCCCCAGCTCACCACCCTGCTGGATCCATCATTCCTCTGGGCCTTTCCACTGCCTTTTCTCTGCTGAGAACATTCTTCCTACTATCTCAGCACCAGTTACCTCCCTGAACATGACCTGTTTGCCCCATTAAGCTTCATGTTCCTCAGTTTCTAGTGACCAGACACTGGCGTGTTCATCCAGGTGTGGCCCAGTTTCCACACTGGATGCAGCAGTCCCCCAAATCTTGCTATCCCCCAAATCTCTTCTTCTGTCTGGCTTCTGTCCAGCCACACATCCTGCCCTTGGTTCTTTTCAGTGGCTCTCTCTCCAGAGGACTCGATTGATGGGCACTCTTGGTCTGTTCACCGGAGGGCCTGGTGTCACTTCCCTGCGTTCAAATCCCTCCTCTGGTTATCCTGAAGCCACTGGCTCATTGGAGTCGCTGAGTAGCCATTGAATAGCCACTGTGTGCTGGGGCCTCCGGAGGGACCAGGCCAGAAGAGCATCTAACTCTCAGGCAGGCTGTGGTGGCCACTTCATCCGTGTCACAACACCACAGCTAGTGGTGAATGGAAGCCGGCTGGGCGAGCTGGGGAAACGCTGGCCACACCAGCAAACAAAAGCAGCCAGGACTCCACTGATGGGCTGCGAAGGGGTTTGTCCAGGATGACAGCAGGCCACTTGGGCTTCAGAACTGATTGGAATTAGAGCCCAGACCCCAGCAGAGCTGCCGACTTAGCCTCGTCTTGCTCTCTCTTTCAGGACTCCCTTGTCCGGCCTGAGGTCCAGCCTCAGTGAGCCAGCCAACCACCCACCAGCGCTTCCTGCCCAGGGAGTCTCTCACCAAGAACCCACCATGTCCATCATGGACCACAGCCCCACCACAGGTGTGGTCACGGTCATTGTCATCCTCATCGCCATCGCCGCCCTGGGGGCCCTGATCCTGGGCTGCTGGTGCTACCTTCGGCTCCAGCGCATCAGCCAGTCAGAGGATGAGGAGAGCATCGTGGGCGATGGCGAAACCAAGGAGCCCTTCCTGCTGGTGCAGTACTCAGCCAAGGGACCGTGCGTGGAGCGCAAGGCCAAGCTGACCCCCAACGGCCCGGAAGTCCACGGCTGAGCGGGGATGTGGAGGGCTCCTGGTCCTGTGTGCAGTCAGCCAGGCGGCGACGGGTGGGGCAGGACCACAGCCGTGCTGCTGTCCTAGAGGAAGGGTTGACACCGCTGGCATGGCCCGGGCAGGCTTCATCATCGCATGCACTGACGCCCAGGGCCTCTGGCCTGAGCTGGGACCCGCTGGCCCTGGGCCTCCCCTCAGCCTCCCAGTGGGCTGCCCATTGCAGGCAGTGGGCAGACCTGACCCCGATGGGGCTCACAGCCCTGGGGCGCTTTTGTTACTTGAGTGTTTAGCTGAGCCTGTTTTTTGATGGAGCTACTACTGTAACGCGTGAACTAACCTGTGAACTGTAAATAGGCCCCAGAAGCACGCGCTTACACCTTTTTTGCTGACTTTTTTTTTTGTAAATGCCACCGAGAGCACATGGAACTGGTTTGACTGAGACCATACTGATGATGAGCGGAGGAGAAACAATGGAGGACTTGGACTTAAAGAGGCCCAGTCTCACTTGACAGGGTCTTTGCATGTATATGCGTGTACAGACATCCCTGTAAAGGAAACGAGCTGTCAGTGTCAGGTCTTGTGGCTGCTCAGCTGGGGCGCCTTGGGGATCTTGGCTGGGTTCGCTGTGGGTGGAAGCAGCGTGCTGTCTTTCTCTAGGTAGATCCGGTTGTTAAATACCAGTTCCTGTTGAGAGTGGGAGTATTGCGAGGAAGCTACTGTACCTGCTCGGGAGCCTGTGACGGCTGCGTCAGGGCGCGAGTCCCGAGGGCTCTCGGGCGTCCCAGTGGCAGAGCATTTCTTGCCCCTTCAGTCTTAGCATGCTGGGTCCCTGCCCCATCCCTCCCCGCTGGCCCGCTTAGCGCAGGCTTGGCTGTAACTGCTCTGTCCGCATAGACACCCCCAGTGTCCCTGGCAGAAATCTCTCATCTGCAATCCCAAGTGGCCCAAGAGAAACCAAATGTGGGCTTGGGGTTTTGTACTTAATATTTCCTGCACTGGAAGGGGAGGGAGAGGGCCATGCTGTGGTTTTTACTTTTGTCCCCCTGTGCCCTTTTCACATGACCCCATCCTCACCTCAGATTATTGTCCATCTACTGGGTGGCGAAGTCCACTTTGTGGGTCACAGCACGATGAGGCGAAAGCTTGAGTGCTCATTGCAAGCCACTTCTTGTGAGCAGAGGGGCTCCCCAACCTCCCTCCAGTCACTCTGGCTTGGGACAGGGGACGTGGGGTGAAGAGTGGGTGGCTCAGTCAAGCCAGCCCCTCTGCAGCTTGCACCTCTGTGGGTCCCCTGTCCACATCAGGGAGTATGCTTAGGTTTAGAATCGTACCATAAGCACCCTCTAAACCATCACTGTCCACTTGTGACTTGTGTCAGTCAGCAGTCTCAGCAAGGAACAGGCTTGCTGGCCCTGCGTCCTCGAGGAGCTCTGGCCCACCCTCGAGCAGCATGCTTCCCAGGCTGAGCCCACAAAGCCCTGGGGCCTCTACCTCAGCTTTGTCCCCACCATTTCTACAAAGCCCATGAACCTAATCCACTTCTCAGAACCCTGAGGGGAGCTGTAGGAAACGCTTCAGCAGTGTCCACCCAAGTTGGAGGTCAGACATGAATAGCTCTAGGGGCCGGAAGGGGTAATTAAGCAGTGTGGGATTAAGGTAGCCCAACATTGGAACTTGGAACATGTGTAAGGGAGAAAATGGTCAGAGAAGGAAATTTAATGGGTGGTTTATGATAATTGTTTTTAGGTACTCTGGAGTCTAAACCATGCCCTTACCTTGTGCCACCCTCAGCATCTGATACACATTGTTAACCATTGTGTTGATCCATGGCGTTTATGATAGGATTCTAAACAGTGGTAAGAACATGAGTGGGAAGCAAGCACCCTGTCAGAGGCAGAAAACTACGACAGTCTGAGTTTAGCCTCTCAGGTTTCACCAGTAAACCACCACCTGTGGCTGCTGGGAATCTGAGTAGTCAGGACTTCCATACTGGAAGAGGCCCTTAGTCGGGAAGGCCCAGTGGTGGTGAGGTCTTCAGAGGCCCTGTAGGCTACCCCCATGATGGGTAGCAGGGAGATGGGATGGTGCTGAAGGAGCACCTTGTAGGGTGAGTTGAGAGCTGTGATGTGGGTCCCACTGCCTTGGGGGGTTGGAGCAGGGAAGGTCCCAACAGGGACTAGGGTTTCCTTGGCTTTGGAGCCTGGCACCTTTGGTCACCCACTGTGTGATTTCTAGCCTCACTCTGAGCTCTGGACTTGCCCGTGAAGTTTCCTTGTTAGAACTTGTTCATGGCAGTTTTGGTTTTTGGGGTTGACCTAGCCCAACTGGGCAGCTGGGATGATACCTCAATGGTGTGAACCAGGCCCACCAGGGGTGTCAGCTGGGGGGTTGGGGGTCTTTGGAAGGTGAAGATGCCCATTGAGCTGGTAAACTAGCCCAAACTGCCCTTGTTATCAGTAGTCACTTTTCCCCCATGTGTAGTAACACTAGAGCCACAACCTGAAAGGCCCAGTACTGAATTCTTGCTGAAGAGCTGTCCACTGCACTCAAGCTTTCTGACCAGCCAGTCAAGAAGTGACCCTTTCAATCATCCCAGAAGCAGCAGCAGGGGAACGGAGGGAACCCTGGACACTGAGCCTGGAAAACATGGACTAATTTTTCAGACAAACCTTCACGTAGACTATGCTACTGTTTTTGTTTCAAAGCCACCAAGTTTGTGCAATAAGTGGGAGGGGGGTGGTACCTGTTCAATAAAAGTTGAAAGACGTTCATGCTGATTTTCTAGACCACTGAGAAAATCTTTATTTACAATAAATTTCAATAAAATTTGCATAAATATATTCCCAATATACAGTCTTCCCCTTTGATTTCTTCATGTTTTAAAATTTTAAGTTAGTCTGTCCTGTTTTCATGACTCCTTTCTGATGCCAGCGTGGCGCTGACGTTGGAGGAGGGAGGGTTGCCGCCAGGAACCCGGGGTTCCCCCACGGGCTCAGGGTGGTCGGTGTGGGCCTCTTTTGGTGTGGCGAGCGTTTCGGCGCCTTCCTTGTCCTCCAGCTTCCTCTCCATGGTGGCCACCAGGATCTTGAGCCAGGCGTTCTCGGTGAGGAGGTTCTCGGAGGCGTCGGCCAGCTCCTGCAGCCTGCGGGCCACCTCCTCGAGCTGGCCGGTCTTCTGCTGGTACAGCGCCTGCAGCTGCTCGCTGTGCAGCCGGAGCAGGCTGTGCTGCTGCTCCAGGGTCTGCTTCTGGCGCAGCAGCCGGTGCTCGTCCCGCCGCGCGCTAGCCAGCTGCGCCTCCACCTGCGCCTGCGCACTGTGCAGGGCGCGGAGCTCCGCCCTCAGCTTCCGGATCTCCCGCTCCAGGTGCGAGATGTGCCCCTGCTGCAGCGCCTCCTCGCTCTGCTGACATTCTTTGGTCGTGGGGTTCGCCAGGCTTTGGGGCGCAGGCTCGGGGTTTGAGTGGTGCAGGATAAACTTGAGCAGATTCGGGAGGGTGATGGGAAGATCTTGGGGGTATTTCACACTTAAGTCCTTTCTGGGAAGGAAAGAGAAGGATCAAAGATGAGTGGTCCAGCCAATAACTTTACTCCAAAACCAGACTTCTGCTACTGAAGGTTGAGTGGTTTACCCCTAACCAAGGAAAGACATCTCAGACTGCTCACTGCAGGTCAGCAAGGAAAAGCCAACTGTTCCCTGGCCACCAGCCTTTCTAACTCCACGGAGTAGCCTGGCCCGGCCGCAAGATAGCAGTCACTCCTGTCCTTGTGTCCCTAACACCACTGTAGAACTTTAACCCCAAAAATATGCTGTGAAGAGTTGGCTGGATGGGCGTGGTCAGGAGGGGACACATTTTCTCTTTTTTTTTTTTTTAGCAATATCACTGTGTCTGTTCCAAAAGCCTTTGAGCCTCTTGAAGAGGGTGGGCTAGTAGCTTTCATTTCTGCAGAGAGCAAACCTGTTACTCCAGTGCTCCTCTGCCAGTGTCTTGCTAGGACAGGACCATCACGTTCAGGTCACCCTGGGCTTGCACAGGCTCACCTCTGAAGGTGAGCTCAATGCTTCTCAGGAAAAAGGGACCTAACCCTTGACAAGCAGGTCAGCCAAGGAGCTTAGATGAATTCACTCTGTGGCCCCTCAGAGCCCAGGAGGAGGAAGGAGAGGCGCTAATAACATCTGTGGGGTTTTCCTGGGGTTTTGTGGTCAGTCTTGATTTACAAAGTTCCTTTTCAGAACTTTCCATTTAATTGTCTGACGACCAAAGTCTCTTACCACAAATACATTTACCTGTGCAGACGTAATCCAGCCAACTCAAACTACCAACTTTAAGCATGAGGTGGACCATCAACCACAATACTGACAGAAGGGAGTGAAGCTGATTCCAGGGCCAGGCTGCCTGGGTCACTGTGCGTGCGTCCTCACCACACATTGTCTCTGGCTTCCTAAATGGTCACAGTGGTGAATTGGAGCAGCCAGGGCAGCCCTACCTCACAAGGTTGTGGGAAGGACTAATAAGGTGTCCATGATTGTTATTTTAAAAGAAACAAACCCAAGAAAAACTACCACATTGTTTAAGAAAAAGACCACTCATTAAAAGTTTGCATGCTCCTTCTGCTAAGCCACCAGCCAAACATCTAAGACAAAGGATGTTCTATTAATGGCCAACTACCCCTTTCCCTATAAGATAAAAATCACAGGAAAATTTAGATCGCACATGCTCCATTTTATGTAATGCTTATGCTAACTTTCAGGTTAAACATGTAGAAGAATTTAGAATCCTGTGTGTAAATTGTTTTGCAGAATAATTTTGGGGTAAGTACATAACCACTCCCTCCTTGAAAGTATCCTTCTCCTAACACTTAAGTTTCTTCAAGTGGGGCACACCCAGCCATTCAGACCACACTTGAAAACATGCCACAAAGTGGACCCAAGGACAGCAAGGAAGCCACGGCATGGCTAGTGTCCACACTGTAGAACAGATGTGAGTGGCCAAGGCTCAGGGATGCAGAGGTGCCTTATGAAGCTTTGGGCACTCTGACAGGGAGCTTGGGCAAGGGAGCAGGGCAGGGCCAAGATGCTGCAGTCTACGGAAGGGGACAGGCTTCTTCAAAGCTCTCTCCGTCTGAGTTATAAAGGAAGACATGCTCTCTGTAGATAAACACACCAGCCGTGTCCTCCACGTTACCTGTGCTCCCACTCCTCCCGAGTCCCCACTGTCAACATCTGGACATTATGCCTTCTGAGTGCAGTTTCAGTTTTAACACAGTATGCACTCATTCAAGTTTGTATTTTCTCACCCAACTGTGCATCCTCTTCACTAAAAATAACAAACATGTGAACCTTGAAAAACAGTTTATTACATGTTATCAAAAAGGCTTTCTCATTTCCTCTTTTGAGCTGCTGTCATCTCCATTTACCTCCTGAGTAAACCAAACATTCAGTCTGGACCAGTGAACAATAGCTTACTTTTGCTTCTCATTCGCATTTAAAGGAAATAAGAAAATGTGTGCATTAATTTATAGAAACAAAGTTTTGGTTTATCAAGCTCTTTTCATGAAACTAGAATTACACGGTCTGATTATATTCAGTCTTGACGTTCCTGACCTTCCCAGTTCAAGGCAAATGGAAAGGGTTGCAGCCACTATTCCCAAGACCCTCGTGGTCACCACGCAGGGCAGCTGAAGACTCAAGACCCCTTACCCAGGCTCAGGCCCCAAACACAAAGCCACTTACTCAGTGTTTGGCTCTCTTTTTCTAACAATATGTCCTCATTTAGTCTACCTCCTGAGGGCTTTTTCACATAAAGGCACGAGTTGGGTGCTATATCTTATATCTCCTTTGAAAATCTACTTCTCTGGGATACATTTGGAATTCTAAAATTAACTTCTGTGAAACTTCATGCCGGCCTCAGTCCCACACAGATGAAGCTGCTGGTGTCACTGTCTGCAGTTCCTTGACTATGTGCAATTTACACACTTCTTAGAAAGAAACAGGCTCATCATGGCAGGCAGCAGTAGATGTGGGTGAGTCACATCCTGTTTTTAGCGTGTGATTCCACAGAACTGCACTACCACAGGAAGAATTCCAGTAGAAATTCTCTGAGATAAAGAGCAAAAACCAAGGAAATGACCTGAGAGAGATGAAGGAAGAGCTCCCTTAGAGAAACCTGCAAGTCGGAGCAGTGCATGCAGTGATCCAATGAGTGCAGGAAATCAGAACTACAAAAGGCATGTTTCGGGCAGGGACTTCAGCCCGGCAAATGCTCGTCCCTCTACAAACCCTAGAGACCAGTGGCCTATAGTCACTCTGTAGTGACTACAGACATTCTAGTGGCCTTGTGGGTAAGGAGTTGCTCTGCCAACCAAAGGCAGGTGGTTTGAGTCCATCAGCTGCTCCACAGGAGATAGATGGGCAATTTCCTCCTGTAAGACTTACAGACACAGAACTTGCTGGAGGGCGAGCGAAGAGTCAGTTCTGACTCCACAGCACATAACAACAACTACTACAGAAGAAGCTGTCAAAGTAACCTAACAGAAACCTTGAGAGAACAGTACCCAGACTCCTAAAGCCAATAGGGTAAAATAGGCTTTCCAAGGGGAGATTGAATTTCCTGTTCTAAAATGGAAATGTTGACACTCATTGTGAATGCAGTCTGTCCCTCCCCTCATGCCTCATCCTTGCTTTCTGGAATTTTCAGGGTAGGCACTGGGATAATTCAACTTGGAATCTTTTTAGACAAATGTGGAAAGTCCGAAGCATACAAGTCCATGGCAAGAACTCACAAGCTTGCATGAAGGCAGAGTTCAAAGAAAGCTTGTACGTGTGCCAGCATGCAGGCGTATGTGTGTGTGTGTTTATGTGCACGTGTGTGAGGTGTCGTCGAGCAGCTTTGACTCTCAGCAACCCTATCAGGTGGTACAGTGGCCAACAAAGCCTCCAGCTCCTCTGGAGCAACAGGGATAAGGTGGAGGTTGTGAGGCCTGCACAAGATAAGGTCAAAAGCTCGAGGCAGGCAGGGCCCGAGCTGCTGACTTTCTCTGCATACATGTGAGGTGCTTGCCTGTCATCTCAGTGTCGTCATGAACTCAAATAGGCCATAAAGGCCAGAGGAACTATTATGGTCACATTAAAGCCTATGTCAGAAAAGTAATTTGGAAAGAAGAGACTTCTTACCAAAATCAACCCCATACAAGGTACCAAAAGCCTGTGTACTTTCTGCACATTTTCTTTTAATTTTGATTTTAAAGAACATTTATAGAAAAGTTAGATTTTTGTTCATTCATTGTTGCATATTTTCCTCCCTATCATCCCAGTTCATATAAAAAAAAATTCATTGTTGCATAATTTTTTTAACAATACCTTTTACTCTGAACAAAGTAACTATAATGATTTGATCCTTATAGTAACTATATTATCATTTACATTTTCCTTTCCTGAAGTATCCTTAACTCATTTCATTTTCAGGCCCATCTGAACAAAAGAATTCCATCTGCCCAATATAAGAAAAATTCAGCGTTACCTGTTGCAGGGAAAAAATAAGACGGTAGGAAGACGGTCAACCATAAATTCCCAAGGAAGATCATTCTGAGCTACATCAATCCTGTCAAAGCAAAGAGAAAGGTTAAAGGTCAGCCCCAAAACTCAGACTTGAAAGCAAGTTCTGAACCAGCTGAAGAACTCGAATGTTTTCTGTGACATGGTCTGGCCTATTCATGTCCCCGGGAGTATACCAAAGGCGCTCACTGCAGGAAGTGCCAATCCTTCTAGAACAAGCAGCTCCCAGTAATTCATTTAGTGCCACCAGAATATGCTAGAGGGAAAGATGAACTTCCCAAACTGCCCCACTGATACTTGAAGTGCACTGTGCTCACCTCATAAAACCTGGTAAAGGATTTTCATTTTGGGAAAAGAAATCCTATCTTTAAGCCAAATCTAGGGAGTGTGGATGGCCTAGTGGGAAGAAGCTGCATTGGGATCCCAAAGACATGCAGTTTGAATCCACCAGCTGCTCCAAAAGAGAAGGATTTACTGCCTCTGAAACCTGCTGGAGGGTCAGCTATAATTTGGTTCTCACTTGACAGTAGATAAAAACAAGCTAAATATACCGAGCCTCTAGTATAATGGAAGGACACACACACACACACACAAAAAAAATTAAAAATTACACCTTATTTTATATTCTGCAAATATGGACAAAGGCCTCAAAAAGCCTGTTTTCTTACCAGTTTTTTGTTTAGTACTAAATTGCCTGAGCTGTTTCCAGTCACTGTCTCATTAACTGGGCTGCTCCAGGACATGTCCCTTCAGGGAAGCTGCAGAGACTCCTCAATGTTTGGCCCCCAAGGGGAAGCTTGGGTGCAAACAGCCCCCTCAGGAGTGAAAGCAAGCTGCCACACTGTGAAAGAGCCCCTGGGCCGAGCGGCCATTCACACAGACACACACACACACGTTTTTGTTTGTTTTCTCCAGGTAGGCTTTACCATGCAGGGAATTTCATTTTTTTAATTGGTTTTCATTCAATACTCATATGCATTTTATTTCAGAACATTAATTACAGCTGTACCGTGCCATTATTAACAACGCTGTACCCTCCCCTTCCCTTCAGCCATCCATTGCTAATCTGCTCCACGTCCCTCACCTTTTCTCCTGGTCAACCCTCCGCAATTGTTTCTATCTGTGTGTAAATCTTTCCTTAGTCTCTTTTTGTTTCCTTCCCTGTCCTCGCTTCCCTCCCACCGTTCAGTTATGCATCTCTTGTTCCAGATTGTTAATTGCAATATACACAATGACAGATGTGTTTTGAATCGGTAACTGGAAGGAAGTTTTCAGAAAGTGTAATTGGGAGGGTAGTGGAGGACAAGGCCGTGCACTTGCACAAAAGGAAGACATTAACTTTTAAAAATGGCATAAATTAAAAGGATTTTACACAACTTTACTAACAAAACTATGCCTAAGCATAATCCCTAAGGATTTAGTTTTAAACAAATGGTAATGAACATGATAATTTTACAACCAAACTTCTTTCCCCTTGAAATTTACTTGTACTTGTACTTGAACTATAAAAATTAAAACATTGTAAATATCTACTCAGAATTCCACTGTACTGTGTTCAAGTTAGGAGTCTATGCTTACATATTTTAAAGACAGTAATCATATGTTTTATATGCTATTCTTTTCTACTACTTGTATGAAAAGCACTGTTTTAATGGGTAGGTAGATAAAAATTCACTCAAATGCCTCCTCTCCAGTCCCTCACTGCTGGGTAAGGAGAATGCTACTGTGACCAGCTCCTGATTCCCTGCAATTTCTATTGCCTTAATTCCCCAAAGTCAAACAGAGTGAAATATGTACAACTGTCCTTAGGACTTCTTGCAAATATTGCTAAAATGCTTTCCAAAAGGTTATGTAATTATTAACATTAGCTGTAGCTGAGTGTACCAATCTCATTTTATTTTTATCAACACAAGTACTGTCATTTCAAAACATTTTTATTCATTTAATAAGTGTAAATCACAGTTTGCTGTTTTAATTTACATTTATTAGATTATCATTTCCCTACTTATTTACTTTCTTTTCTTACATGAAGATCATGGTTGCTGTTACTTCTCAGTTGCCTCTTTCATCATCTTAATTTTGTAGGTTCTGAAGCATAAATAAGAAGCTCTGGTGGTGCAGTATTTTAGATGTGGCACTGTTAGCTGATAGGTCAGCTGTTCACTCCACCAGCTGCTCCGTGGGAGAAACATGCATAGTTGCCTCTGTAAGGATTACAGCCTCGGAAACACTGTGGAGGGTCAGTACGAGCTGGATTGGGCTCCCTGGCCAAATTATTGGTTTGGTTTTGAGTTTAAGAGCATGAACACGCCTGCCTGACTCTAAGTCCCAGCTTCCTCACTCACAGGTCCTGCAACTAACATTGCTGTTTGATGAGTTTCCTCATTCATAGGTGACAATCACAGCTGCTTCTCAGAGTGCTATGGGGATTTCATTAGAAAGGGAGAGTGTGTGTGTGTATCTCAGTATTATAAAATTTACAGCATATATGGTAAGTGACATATATGCTGTACTTACTCACTGCTGTTAATTCAGAATCGATACATAGCTGATGAGCCTGCGGATTTTCAGAGGCTATAAATTGCCCATTCTTCTCCTTCAGAGCTGCTGGTGGCTTTGAACTGGTCCCTTAAGGTTAGAGCACAAGTCCCTATGGACTGTGCCATTAAAGCTCCCTTATATGCTATAATATGCACGTATTGTTCGTTTTTCAGTCTGTTTTCATTATTTTAGTGTAAATTTTTGCAATGAAATCTACTCATTTTTTTTAACCACTTCTACTTTGGCAAGTTTCCATCTTTCAAAAGCACTAGCAATTCCAATATTCTATATTCTGCTGTATTTTCTGTGATTTGACCATTTACTTTTCATCCTAATATAGCAGGGCTTTTTTACTGGGGAAAGAGTAGGAGATAACACTTAAATCTAAACCATTTTCCCATCCGAAACGTCTTACTTCTTTTAAAAACCTCTTTATTTGATCTCTTTCCCCCCAAATCTATTTAATGTATTTTTGTTTGCACATAGCTCACACACAGTATTCATGGAATCATAAAGCTTGAAAAACTTGGAGGAAAAAAAAGGAGGTAAAAGAGGTCTGGTGGGGAGATCTGTAAAAGGTCTCAGAGCCTCTCAGCTTCACAGAGGGGGTGACCCCTCTTGTGGACCCTCTACTTGGGCTGGCCACTTGAAGGGCATTCTGGTACCTGGGCCAATGTTCCTCTCACAGAAATGCACACCTCTGCCTGTGAATTCTAACAGAGGTAGAAAGAACATTCAAATGTGAGTAGGAAAATCTTGTTTTCCACATGGTTTTTCTCAGGTCTTTAACCTGACCATTAAATTCCACCAGGTCTTCCCCACAAACAATGGACAAGGGGTGGTGCTCTCACAAGGCATCAGGTGAGGCTATAAGGAAGAGTGACCAGGCATGCAGTCCGCAGCCCCCCAGAGCTTCCTTACCTTGCCACAGTGAACGTGTCCGCTGGCAGGAGGCGAGCTAGCTGGATGAAGACGTGATTGAGGGATGGACAGAAGCCACACCACTGTGCATAGTACAGCAGCAAAACATCCTGTGGGAAGAGAAGATGCCCGTTACTTGGCATGGGCTCCTCCTCACTTCCTCCTGTACTTCCTGTAGTCACTCAGTACGTGCTGCCCTGCACAGGAGCGAGCATTAAAAACTTCATCCCTAGATCTTCCCAGCTATGTACATTCTGAAGGATGATGGGTTTTGGTTGGTTTACTTTTTTTTTTTCCTATTTGAAGGATAAAACCTTTACTTTTTTTAATTGAGATTTTTTTTTTTAATAATTTTAATGAGCATTTACAGAGATTTTGGATTTCCATTCATTCATTGCTGCACTTCTCTCCCCACCCAGCCCTCCCCCCTCCAGTTCGTTCCTCTCTTTCAAAAGTAAAAGAAACACACCTTCCCTGGTACACAATCCCCCCCCACCCCTCCCACCGCCCCAAGTACATGATAACTATAATACCCTATCATACATCGCTTTTAAATTATTCACTCCCTCATCTGTTTCAGTGCAGTATACAAAATTTATCCAGTTTTTCTCAGTCTTACCCCAATCCTGATATCAATCCCATTTTACAACAGTGGCACCATGCAGTATTTGTCCTTTTGCGACTGAGATATTTCACTCAGCATAATGTCCTCCGGGCTCACCCATTTTGAATAATATTGCATGAGTTCCTTGTTTTTCAATGCAGCGTAGTATTCCATTGTGTGAATATACCACAGCTTCTCTATCCATTCGTTTGTTGATGGGCACTTAGGTTGTTTCCAACTCCTTGCTATTGTGAACAGAGCCACGATAAACATGGGTGTGCATATATATGCTTGGATGTCAGTTGTGGTCTCTTTGGGATATATTCCTAGTAGTGGAATTGCTGGGTCAAATGGTATCTTTATTTGCAACTTTTTGAGAAAGCGCCATACCGCCTTCCACAGTGGTTGCACCATTTTACACTCCCACCAACAGTGAATAAGGGTTCCAGTTTCTCCACAACCTCACCAGCATTTGTTGCTTGCTGTTCTGTTAAATTTTGCTATTCTGACTGGGGTTAGATGATATCTCATAGTTGTTTTGATTTGCATCTCTCTTAGAGCTAGGGATTTTGAACATTTCTTCATGTGCTTCTTGGCCACCTGAATGTCTTCTTTGGTGATGTGTCTATTCATATCCTGTGCACATTTTTCTATTGGATTATTCACCTTTATCTTGTTGTGGTGCTCAAGTATTTTATAAATTCTAGATATAAGTCCCTTATCTGACATGTCATTACCAAATACTTTTTCCCAGTCTGTGGCTTCCCTTTTTACCCTGTTGGAGAAGTTTTTGGATGTGCATAGGGATTTGATTCTTAGAAGATCCCATTCATCTATTTTATCTTCTCCTGGTTGTAGATTAATTGAGATTTTAATGAAAGTTTATACAGAACTTGGATTTCCACTCATTCATTATTGCACATTTTTCTCCCTGCCCCCTCTCCCCCCAGTTCGCTTTTTTCTTTGGGGAAAAAAGTTCTTTCATTGTTATACAGCTCCCCTACCCCTTTACTATGCAGCTCTTATTCTGGACTCCTGTCATGCCAATAATTTCTAATCATATTTTCCTTTTATACAGTTCTCTCTCATTCCTAAGGATGGTTTAAAGACTCCTCGTGTAATCTATTCAAATTCCACAATAGGACTTTCCTGTGGGTCTTCATAACCAATTGCTCCAACCAACAAAGACAGCCCTGGAAATTTATTTTTAGTAGAGAGAGAGGGCTTGCTTTTTGCCTCTCTCGTGACATCTTACCTGTTTTTGGAGGACTACTTCCCAAAAGGTATCAGTTGTCACTTCGGTGATTAAATGCTGAGAAGGGAACTGGGCAGAGTCACTTCCAATAAGATGCCTTTTCAAGGGACTGTAGAGAACACTGAAGTTTTGAATAAAAGACTCTAAAAATAAAGAGAAAATGAGATCAAGTCTTCTCTTGGTGCAAGGAGAGTAGCTGGCCTACTTTAAACTCCACCATTTCAAAAACTAGAAGAGTTTCACAGGCCCACACTTTTAACACTTTACTTACAGGCAAAACCTTGAACAAAGCTGCCCAGTGTGGCACCAGGGTCACTGCCGTAGTATTAACTCAATGAACAGTAACTCAGATATGGCAGAATTAAGCTGTTTTAATACACACATGCTAGAAAGTCTTTTCTTTTTCCCTAACAGGGCTGGTCTATAAGACAGCAACTGGAGGTACATATGCCTCAACATGTCACAATCTTTAAGAGGTTTAAACTAGCAACATTGAGACTGTTAAGCATTAACTACAGATGCAGCAGCAGCTTCACGACCTACTGTAATGCAGAGGGTGTCTGCTGATCATGAGTTTGAGGACATCGAGCTCTTTTTTGTTGGTGGTGGTGACCTTTGTTAAAGCTCATCAAGTTTCTTTTTGAAAAAGGTTAAGAAAAAAGTAAGTTCCATTTTATTTAGCAAGAAAAGTACATAAATAAAACTCACAAAGTAAGTAAAAAAACCTAACTTGAACCAGCAGTTTTGCTCTCCCCACAAGGCCATTGTCTCAGCCGCCTTTGCCTCATCTGAAGCAGCATTAATTTGGGCTTCACTGCCTCTTCTTTAGCTCCCTCCATTCTAAGTTCCCGACCAACAATAAAAGGTTCTGCACCAAGAGGGGGGCAGGAAGAACCCCCTGTGAATACTGAAGAGGGTGCATCACCACCCTCTAGCACGTGGTTAGCTCTGTTTTTTGACATAAAACCAAGAATTTGTGAATCTGAATGAAACCTAAATACTGTCCTGGAGTCAGTTTTCCAAGCCAAAGAAAAAAGTCCACTACAAATCTGTTACCAACTGCAGGACAATGAATAGCTAAACTGGGTATAGTTAGACTGAATAAAATCTGAAGAGAACTTTCAGATTACTCTTAAAATCAAAGTGAACAAGTATGGTCTTGTTGCATCTTTGATTATGAATGAACAGAATTCAGAAAAATCCAAAAAGCATGCCCTTAAAAACAGAAAACTCAATACACCAATATGGAAATTAGGAAATCATAAATAGTGTAATACAAATAAAAAATAATGGAAGAGATCTGCCACATCAATAATGACACACTTTATAAAGTGACTAGCACTAAGTAATCTAATGTTATAATTAGGTGTATAATGTGATATAAAAGAATTAACATTTACATACATCTTTTGCACAAATGTGTCAAAGGTAAGAAACAAGCTTCACCTGGCATGAAAAGAGCGCTGTGAAAGGGACCAGGGCTTAGGGATCTGACTGCACTCTTGCTCTCAGACTCTCTGGCACATGAAAATACAGTTTCCTTCTCTATCAACTGACCCTCTTCTCCATCGGGCAATCACTGACTCCCATCCTGGGTACCCACCGAGGCTGAACTAACATGCCTTTTGAATTCTCTCCCTTGCGTGCATCAAGGATGAGACCACAGTGCCAGGGAAAGGACAGCGAGGGACATGTCACTGCTGCTGGCAAGCCTTCAGGGCAGATGCTCTCCTGTAATGAGGCCTTCACCCCAAAAGTGATTTTTGCTGACTGGCAACTTGTTTACTGTCAGACACTGGCATCACAGCAGCCTCTGCCGGTGTTATAAAATTGCAGAACGAATCAAGTCTAATTCTCTTGCTATATATGTATCTATATGTGACATCCAGGTGATGATCAGGGAGAGGGGTGCTGCAATTTTTTACCCCATTTCTGATTGAACTACTTTAGTATGGAGCTGCAGTGTTGACGCAATGCATCAACTGCCTGGGACATTCCCAGCAGAGAGGCTCCCCTGACCCTGCCCTGCACAGTGACTGCATCCTCGCTGACTCCAGCTTGCTCTGCTTGAGAAATATGACTGGCACTGCCAATAGAAAAATCTGGGCTTCCACCCGCCTCCACTCACCAACTACCCAAGGGCTAAATGACAACTTCAGCTAAAATTGGAAGGACTCAGGAAGTTTCTGTTCTATCTAGTAGACAAACTCAGCTACTTGTAGAATTATGACCAACTGCAGTCTCAAGATACAATGAGCTAAAATGTATCTATAACACTTCAACCATTGGAATTAACAAGACTCCTACCCAAAAGTTACATGTAATAAATTAGGCAAAATGTATTAGGCTTGAAAAAGCAAAATTGCCTACAGTACCTAGGGTGAACTTCACAAGAGCTTGCTTGGGGTCCAAGATATAATGAGACTCTTCCTTCACATCGACAATTGCAGCAAATTCCTTCACGAGGGTGAAGCTCGGGGCTCCCAGCCTCTCAGCATATAACCAAAATAAATTGGAATCCAAAAGGTAGATGTTCAGGGTCTTGTTGGTTCTGCAGCTCAGCCCTGTGAAGCTTGTGCTTTCCACATCCACTCCAGGGAAGAGGAACCGGTTCTCCTCAATGTGAGGAACGGAGCTCGGGGACTCAACTTCATATTTCTTCTCCAGGGAAGAGAATGTAATGGCTGGGGTTTCAAAGAGCTCGTGCTCAGAATCGAGGAAGCCCATTACGCCCCTGCTTATGGTCCTGCAACATGCAGTGTAGTAGCTGAAAGGACTGTAGGAACTTAAAAAATTGCTGCATTCTATGCTGTCTGATGCCACGTGGTAAAAGGTCTGCTCCTTGAGGTAGAAGGAATCCAGAGCTGCCGCCATCTCAAAAAAGCTGCACTGCGGCACGCTGACCGAGCTGGGCTTGACGCCCCCGGCAGTCTGGTTGACGCACAGCTCGCACACGTTGTGGGTCCTGGAGATAGAATGCCACTGGGGCAGCACCACGGTGTTGCAGCAGGGCGACATGGTGATGAGCGGCGGGTCTGGCAGCTGGGCTGGTGCCTCCGGGGCCAGCGACTCGAACACTGGGGTGTCCACGTGCCGCAGGTGCTGAAGGAGGCGCTCCACCACCTGGTCCCTATGACAGTTGTTGTACTCCAAGGCCACTTCGGTGATCTGAAACACAGGGGGAGACTGTGAGGTGCAAGGGGTGGCTGAGGGGCAGTCCCAGATAGTCACTCCTGATTCCAGGAGTGAAACCTGAGCAGGGAGATGGCCTCTAATACGACGCTGCTGTATCAGAACCTAGTAATAACAAAGCAACTTCGGTTATTTTTAAGAACACAGTATTTATTGTGCCTTTTTTAAAAACAGGAAAAAAGGTATAAAGAGGGCACAATGTCCCAAAAAGATCTATTCTCACTCAGTTCTTTTTCAGTCTCTCCCAGAAAGCACACATCCCACAGTTAACAAATAACGAAGCATGTTTCTAGGGACATAGAGAATTTCAGTTCCACTGACGAGAGAGCCTGGAGGGTTGAATAGCTTGCCTAGGAACACAGGTCCAGGCCATCAGAGACCCAAGAGCCTGAAATCTCTCTGTTCCCCTGAGGATATGTCCACCATACACCATTACAGCAGCACCATGCTCACCAAGCTGTCTCTTTCAACAACTTCAAGTGCAACTGATGCTTTAAAAACTTCATAAACTCCTAGTGAGTGTGTTGGAAAATTTCACTTCCAGAAAGTTCACATGTGTAAGAGGCTATGAGTTCAGTCTCCTCCAAACAGTACTCAGCATGTAACATCCCCCAACTGCCTCCTCCTGTAACACCCTCTCTGGGATAATGGTGTCACCAAGCTAGAAACACAGTTATCCCTGACTTCTGCTCCGCGTCACTGCACACTTGGAATCTGGCCAGCTTTGGCTTCACTAAGCAGGACCTGTATCTCCCTGACCAGGGACTCATCGGTCACACACCACTACCATTTTCTCTCCCCTTCCTGCACTTGGTCTCTTAATTTTTAAAAATACAACCCTAAGTATGATTCTCTTGGCCCAACATCGCATGGCTCCTTTGAAGCTCTAAACCCCATCCAATCTGGTCCCATGTGTCTTTCTGGGCTCTTCAGACCAGACCAGAGCCTCTCATGATACCACTTTTCTGCACAGACTTCAGTCTAGGATCGCAGGGCACCCCATAAGACAATGGTCCTTGTCCCCAGATTCACCATCAGGGTCACTGCACAGAGAAGATAATAAGCTCCACTGCAGAAGGGATGGCTTTTGAGCCCTCCCAGGGTCACCTGACTCTCTCCTGTGTCCAGGTCTAGATTTTCAAGGGCAGGAGCCATACAGACTGATCCTGATATCCCCAGAGCCCGGCACAGGGCAGGGCAGGGCAGGACCAGACGGTCAATAAACACCTGACGAACAAGCTGATCTCAGGGCAACGGCATGCTTCCATTTCTGGCTGAGTGTCACTGCTTTCCCCTCCGACCAATATAAACAATTCAGATTCACATTTTACTCTGAGACTCATCCCTTTCCAAAGGGAATCTCTTTCTCTACCCCAACCCTTTTCCACACCCAGTTTCACAAGAAGTCATTATAACTCAAAGCCATTTATTCTCTAAAACAGAAGTGTGTGTTCACCTAGATCTAATCCCACCAATTAGCTAAAAGGTTTTGGTCACTCAGGATTGTATTTTCATTAGAGTGAGCAAGCGAGCAAGCGAACAGGCCAGCCCACAGGGCTTCAAGCCATTTCTTTCTGCTTGACTCTTAGCTAAGAATAAGAATCAGAATCTAACTTAAGAATTGTCTGGGGAGCTTGTTAAAAATGTAGATTCTGATTCCTTATATCTAGGGGTGAAAAGTCAAATTCTCTGAAGTGGGTGGAGCAGGGACACCAGATTGAATTGGTTCAAAGCCCTAGTATAAAAACCATTTAACGAGTGCACTTGCCATTTCAAAGACAACACAAATTTTAGAACAAACATTATTTATAAACCTAATTAGAAATATATGTATGTGTGCAAAAGAAGAAATGGAATAGTCTTTGTCATCATCAAGTCACATTAGATGATAAGCCACTGTTTTAAATGGATGCTTTTCCATACAAAAATAGCTCGGCCTTTTCGGGAAGGCTTCAGCAGCTCCATATACTAACACGGGCAGCCTATACAATTCTCCAAGTGCCCAGCCACCCTGCAGCCTCATCTTGGCACTGCTTCATTTTCAAAGACAGAACAGTTTATCACCCTCTGTGCCCAAAACTGAGTATTACCATGTCTTCTGCAGAAAGAAAACCCGAGAAGAGCAAAGGCCCTCAAGAGATTGTGTCCATTATTATTCTAAATATTTCATGCTAAAGCAGCCATGTGAAGGATATGCTTAACTGAAGAAAATATTTTATATAAAGTAATGCTTTAGAAGAGTACAGACATTTTTACTTTCTCTGTCAGTTGAACTGGTTCTCGCCTTTACATTCTTTTACCAGCCAGTTTTGAACACTTTACTCCTGCTATGCTGACATACATCACTTGCAATCATTTTGTGGGAACAAGTAAGGAAAGGTTAGCAAATTTTAAGTGTTCACACTATTAAACTGCTTTCTTCCAGTTCCTTTAATCAGAGAAATCTGTAACCTGGAATAAAATAACCATGTCTGTGCTTACCAGCCTCCTACACTGTTGTGAATGTTTCAACACAAATCTTTTAAGGCAAAAAAAACCAAGTCACCCAGTCGTGGCTGGCTGAGGACACGATTTCTTTTGATAAACAAGTTGCATAATACGGTGTCTGAGAGCCTCTCTTGAACTCCCTAGAGACACCAGGTGCCTGCGGTGCACGCTGGTCTCAGGATCTGTGTCTCTGGGGCTGGTGTGCACATGTGCAGGCAGGTGGGTTCATAACCTGCACTGAGTGTGATGCCCACCACTCTCACCACATCCAAACTCCCAGTGCTTCCTTGCCTCATGTTACTATTTCCCACTCTAAGCAGGTCCCAAATCCTCTAAGCCTTTTTCTGTGCAGCCCCAGTCGATGGGGACAACACTCACCTTTGTGGTCCAGGGCCTAGGGGGGACCTCCTTTACCTGGAGTTACAAGCTCCTCTACAGGAGCTCTGGTGGCACAATGGTTAAGCACTCAGCTGTTAACAGAAGCTTGGCAGTTTGAACCCTCCAGCTGCTCTTTGGGGGGAGGACGAAGCAGTTGTCTTCCGTCGATTTACATCTGTGAGAACCTTCCAGGGCAGTTCTACTCTGTCTTATAGGGGGTTGTGAGCCAGAATTGATGAAAAAAGTGAGTATGAACTTGTTCCCCTGATGGACAAGCCTTACTACTAGAGCTGTGTCTTCTACTTCTTTCTTCTCATCAGTGCTTACCAGACTGTTCAATAAGCAGCTGCTAAACTGCCCTGGAGTGAAGAGGGAAATGTACAGACTGTCACATTGCTCAGCGAAGCAATCTACAATACTGCTAAGACACCATTTGGTTTTCAATGATGCAAACCAAACAGTAGAGTCTAGGGACTCCCCTACCTCTCAGGATGCTGAGCCCTGAGGAGAGGAGGCACAAGCCAAGCCAAGAGCAGAAGAAGGCCTGCCTCCAGGCCAGGAGTCAGAAGATAAGGGGCACCAGAGCACATGTACACCATCTGGAAATAAAGAGCTGGAATGCAATGTCCTTCCTGTGGTCTCTAAATCCAAACAGGATCTCCTGAACACAGAAACAGTGGTGCCACTGTCACACAGTACTGCCTTCCTAGGACCCTGACACATCCAAACTGGAGAGGGTCAGTGAATTCTTCAGAAAGGAACTTCAAAAGTTAATATAAAAACCCCTAACCATAGTTACCACCTTGGCTGAAAACATCACTCTTTCTACAAAGAGTGTACTGAAGGCTTGGAAGAGTATCCCAGGTCATAAATGTCCATGTAGTAAAGGTTCTCTAAAGAAAGGAAGTTTTATTACTTCCAGTCCTTCCTGGTCAGAGGAGAAGAAATAAAGCCATTTCATCACTTCTCTTCTGTCTTTCTCTGACCCCGTGTAACTAACTGTTCAGAACTCTCCCCAGCAGGGATAATAACTTTCACAAGAAGACACTCGAACAGCCAAGTGCAGAGTCCGACCGGGAGAACAAACAGGCCAACGCTGATGCTTCGGGACAGGCAATGTCTGGGCAGCCTGGTGAGTGCTACGCTAGAGTCTGAAATTGGTTTGGGCCAATTATGCCATCCTTGAGGGAAGGAAGATATAAAATCCTCGGTAAATCCAATTTAGCAATCCCAGGCTCCCTCTGCCGATTGTTATTGCTCTCTCTAAGTGCCTCTAAATGATCCATGTATAAAATAAACTTGCATCCAGAGAAGGCGTACACCAGATGAAGCAGAAAGAGCAGAGGCGGGCCAGCTCCTGACAGCGGTTGTCTCTGAAAACCCTTTGCTTGTGTACACAGCAGAGATGGCTTAGAAAACAAGGCGTCACCACTGACACTTCTGACTGCTTGCCACTTTCCCACTGTCCCAAGGATACACAGGGATCCCTATGACACCCTTGCCCGACACTGTCATGGTGACAACAGCATTTTTTTCTGGAACACTAAACTGCCTCATCGCTGATCGACACCTCTACAGGTTCACACAAGTTGTCTTAATAAATGGCACAGGTGTCCTCTGCCTATTTGTATCTGAGCTCGGCTCCCTCATTCACAAGAGAAAGGTGGAATGCCACCAAAACACAGCTGCCACTATGAACCCTTCAGCTATCAGTGTAAATGACTGTAAGTGTGGAACGGGTGAAGTACAAGTTAACGAGGCTTCCTATTCAAACGCTGTATGAGTTACTTATTAATGTTATGATTCTTACCTCATCTATTAAAGGGTGACTTTCTGCTAAGGGATTAAAGGGTATGAATAAAAAAAGTGCTGGTCCTTTCTTCAGTTCATTATTCAGCAGAAGACTCTTGCCTCCATGTGGTCGCAGCCATCGAAAGAGTGTCTCCCGGTTTTCTAAGGCCCATTTACAGATGTTCTCAGCGGTGTAGTTCATGATCTCCCTGGGGAAGACCTGGGTAGGGGGTAGAGAAACACAAATGGATAAGCCAATGCTGAGGGGGTCACACTACTGCCCTCAAAAGGCCCCATCACCCCATCACTTCACAGGGGGGAGAAATGAGGCTCAGAGTGGTGAGGGGACTTGTCCCTGGTTATGCAGCTAAACGCTACTCTGGAGAGCATGGTACCAGGTGACTTTCAAATAGGGAGAGACAGTGGCCTATCTTTGGAAGGACTCAGGTAAATCCCTATATTTTTCCTGCTTGCTGGGGTGATGATTACAGCTACCAGCTGTCCAAGGGGAGCTAGTGAGTGATAACGGGGTGTTTCTGAAAGGATCAGCACATATCAAAGGGGTTAGAAAGTACAGAGCCAAGAATCACTGAGATTTAGGATTCGGCCCCACAAAAGCTGCTCCATAAAGACAAGCATGGACACCCCATGAGGGTAGAGCCGGACGTCAGCTTGATCCCCAGTATACTTGCAGTGACTAGAACACCTGGCACACAGCAAGAGCTCAACAAATACTTGAATGCACCAAAGAATGACCTACAATGTGTATGAGGCATGAACCACATTTCACGTGTACATAATGAAGGAAAGGAACTTTCTGTTTCTTTCTTTTTAACAACCAAAGTATGTTACCAATAGGATATTTCTATTTTTTCATGATCAGGTTTCATCCCATCACTCATATACATTTCACTTTATAATTAATTATACTTGTACAATGGCATCATTTACAATATCTAATCTTCTCTGCACCCTCTCTCTTCACCCTCCCACCCATTCACTGATCTCTGCTCCTGCTCCCTCCCATTCCAGTCAGCCCTCCACAACTAGCTAAAACAGTTTTTAAAATTTCAGTGATAGATGTAACCGGTTTTCAAATAAAACTCCCAAAAAAATGGTGCTCTGGAGGATTCCACAAAATAAGATTATTTCTCACCCTCAAAAACGGATGTCAAGTACTTCAAAATGAAGATGTCCACCATTATGTTGTTTAAATACTGAAATTCAAACATTTCATTTGATAAAAGAAATTCCGATGCTAAACTAAACTAACCTTTAACAAACAAGTGAATTCAAGTAATGGCTCAGTGATTTTCTCCCAGGCTTCCCTCCATTTCCTCAACTATTCAGAGTGTCTTCCCCAGCATCCTTTACTATTCACATGTATGATACAGATGGTTATCACACGAGAGAAGGATGCAGGAAAGTGATAGATGGCAGAAGCAGATGAAGTCGAGAGAAGCGAGACTGAGGAGTGAGGAGAATGGGTGGGTGGTAGAGACAACCACAGCAGTGATGCTCAGAGTGGAACTGTAAGAGCTTGAGAAAACATATCAAACATCAGAATAAGCATTTTCATTTGGAAAACACAAAAGTATAGCTGAGCTTAGAGATACAAATTGCAAGAAGTAAAGCACAGCATCTGGTGAGGAGCGATAGGCAGAAGCTGGGGTGACTAGGAATTGTCAAGGGGTAGCCCCTGGAGAACAAGAGCCTAGCAGTACTTCCAAAGGCACAAGACTGTTGTAGAACTGAGGGCAGCATAGACTTAAAAGGGCGGGCCCACTAGGGGGTTTGGGATATTGATCTACTGAGGGCCTGCAAGTCACCAAGACTGGCAGTGAAGTTAGAGACAGAAAATAATCAAGAAAAATAAACTCTCAGGATTGACTAAGGAAGCAGCAATGAATAAAGAAGCTGAAGCACAGGACTGACTAAGCAGGATATAGGTCAAAGCTCAGAAATAGCTGAATTGAGGTTGTTCCACCAAAAAGCAAATGAAATCAGGGAACACAAGCAACAATGGAAAAGCAGGGCTCTCTGGGGTGAGAAGCTATCAGTTCCTCTTTGTGCCCTGATGTGGACTTCAAAAATCAATTACGTCATCTAGGGACAAGAGCAGGTCGCATTACCACTCTTGATAAATGTACCAAATGAACAAAGAATATAACCCAATGGAAGTGTAACCTCTAAAAGCATAGGCACAGAGAAACAACCCCCAACAGACTAATTCTGCAATTTCATGAACCAGGAAAACTAGCAAGGTTGTACCCGAAGTCTAAGAATATAAAGAAAGAATACCTAGCTGTTAAAAGCCCAGAGTCCCTGATGCATGGGTCTGTAATCTGGGCGTGGTGGTTCCAGGGTGGGGAGGGAGGAACTCTCAATGTGCATATAAAATTGTATGCACTTTCCTAGAGAGAGTACATAGCTTTCATCCAATTTTCAAAGGAGCCTGTGACCTATGCAAAGTTAAGAACCACTGCACTAATACAAACGCAATTTCAAAATACTTACAAGTGATGTGTTGAAATGTCTATGTAAATACACACTTCCAGAGTGTACTAAGGATACCAGTTTCGCAAGATGCTTATTTGTGATAACCCCAAATCGTACTGTTCCTAGGTAATCTGAAACAGAAAATGTTCCTTTATTAAAGAAAAGGCCTATGCCTTATAACAACCACAAAACCCAGTGACAAATCTTGATGCACAAATTCCCCAGGGGCAAGCAGCTCTTTGTGGGCACCTACCTACCCTGAGCATGAAATGAGGAGGAGGGGAAGGCATATTCCCCGGAAGCTGACCTCTATCCTTCAGATGCTGAACTGGCTGCTTCTCTCCTGGATGATCTGACCTCCACTCTCTGCCCCTCGCTCACTGCCCAGAGATCAAGGCAGCTTAGTCCCGCCTCACAGTCAAGGCATGTGCTATTCTCTCCCTACCTGGAAACATCCCATAGTCAGCTGCTTCTCACTATTTGGATCTCAGCTTGGACTCAAGTTCTAAGACGCCTCTCCTAACTGATCCCCTATCTAAGGGCAATAAAGTCTACAATGGAAGTAGGGAATTAGACTCCCCCTACTCACTCATCCCAATTCTTTTTGCAGCATTCACTCACAGTGTTTCTCGACAATTCCATACTCTCACACAGTTAGATCCCCTTGGTCTAGTTTCTCTTTCAGAAGCAATGTTCTATGAAAATAGGGGCTTGCTGTATCTGCCTGTTTCCCCAGCAATTACAGCAGTGACTGAGTGTCTAAGTATGTGCTGAATGAATGAGGCTCCCATTTATGAAGAATTCATACAAGTCAATAAGATAAAAGAACATGGTAAAAAAAAAAAAAAGGCAAGCCACAAAAAGGAAATATAAATACCAATTACTGGAAAATGCACTCAATTTCTCTATTTCAGAGGAAAGCGTATTAAAACAAAATACCACCATTTACTCTCAAATTGTCCAAAAGTTAATACTTGGGAAAGTCTAAGTGTTGATGCCCAGTAAAGAGGAGTACGACCACACACTGCCAGTGGGGAGTCAAACTGTAGTCACTCAGGAGAGCTGTGAGCTGCATGGAGGACAAAGAAGAATGGACATAGCCTGGGGGACAGCAATTCTACTTCCCAGTTTCAGGCCCAGAGGGACACTCACGTGGTCAGTAGGAGCTACATGCAAGGAGTGTCAATAAGCAATATTCTGTCGGTGATAAAGAATAATGAGGTCGGAGGTAGGATTAGCTACATAAGCCCACAGACCTTGAAAGCATATGCCACTGAAAAGGCATGCCAAGGAAAGAGAAAGTCTACCTTTTAACTGAAAAAGAAAAACAGACCCACACTTATAAAACGGTATTTTCCTTCTGATGGACACATATGTCTACATATATCACAAAAATCAGAAAGAATAATAAAAACGGTTTCATGCTGGGTGATGGAGATCAAAGGAGACTCCATATTCTAATTTATATTTCCTCAAAGAGCTTCTAACTATTTAATACTGCTTGATTAAAATATTTTATTTTAAAGGAAGGGTGATAAAATGAAGGGAGAGGCATTCTTTCCTGCTTTATTAACAGATGGTAAGTAAAAAATATTAGTTAAACTTTGAATGCTACCAGGTTATACCTAAGAAGCGAGAATATTAATCTATGAAGGCACCAGACACACATTTTCATCTCTCCATTGCCTGAGCTCTCCCTTCCAACAGTGAAGGCTTTCCCCCTCTCAGATAAGGAGGAACCGAGGAGAGTGAATGAATAAAGGGGTAGTATGTCCCCAATGCTATAGTGAATACCAACTGATGCATTAAAATCAGAAGAACAAACTAGAAATGCAAGAGATTGATTACTTGTAGGGCTTGGAGGTATCAAAGGAGGAAAGAAGTTGAAAGAAGCGAGCAGTGGGAACTGGTAATAGAGGTATGGCTCTCAACAGACCAGGGCCATGTGCCTCTGGCAGTTTGAATTTACCAGCAGTTCTGAGGCAAAGAATGAGCACTCTCTTCCCATTAAGATTTACAATCTCAGGGGCAATGGTTTTGAAAAATATTACATAACTTGGGAGTGACTGGAGAAAATTATGCCGAGTGAATGAATTTAGTCTCAAAAGGACAAATACTGCATAACACCATTATTGAAAAAACAGAAGGATAACTAGTAACGTGTGTGGGAATCCAAGGGGGAAAGGGGTGGTAGCAGAGGGGTGAGTATGGATAGGGGCAAAATCACAGGGTTGCACAAATTGGTGGGGGAAGGGAGGAAATGGGAAAGACTCGGTGGGGACCTGAAAAGACAGGGTAATGGTGGGCATAGTCCAATGGTGATTAATTTTATATAATAAAGGGAATGATTGTAAGAAATAAAATGGGAATGAAGAGTAGTGTGATACACAATGTATATGAACTTTGTAAGCAAAACAATATAAAATAAAAATTGTTGTTGTTGTTGTTATGTGCCGTCGAGTCGCTTGCAACTCATAGCGACCCTATGTACAACAGCCCTAAACTCCGCTCTGTCCTGTGCCAATAGCACTGTCTCCTACACTCCCATCCCAATTATCCCAGTCACTGAATCAATCCACCTCATAGAGGGCCTTCCCCTCCTGCGCTGTCCCTCCACCCTCCCAAGCATGATGTCCCTCTCTAAGGACCGGTCTCTCCTCACATGTCCAAAGTATTTTAGACAGAGTCTCAGAATCCTTGCCTCCAAGGAGCCACCTGGTTTAACCCTTTCCAGGATGAATCTGTTTGTTTTCCTAGCAGTCCATGGTATTCTCAATACTCTTCTCCAGCACCACAGCTCAAAGGCATCAATTCTCCTTCTATCCTCCTTGGTCATTGTCCAACTCTCTGATGCATAGCAAGTGATTGCGAAGACCATAGCCTGTATCAGACGCACCTTAGTCTCCAGAGAGACATCACTGCTCTTCAGCACTTTGGAGAGGTCCCTAACAGGAGACTTTCCCATGGCAATGCGCCTTTTAATTTCCTGACTGCAGGTGCCAAGACTGTTGACTATGGAGCCAAGCAAACTAAAGCTGTGTACAATCTCAGTTTCTTCACCATCCATCCTGATGCTGCCAATTGGTACAGTGGTGAGAATCTTTGTCTTCTTGACGTTGAGCCTCAATCCATATTGTAGGGGAAAAAAAAGATTTACAGTCTCAGAAACCGGATGGATGATGACCCCTATGAATTAGAATTGTCTCCATATGGCTGTGAGTTTGGCGCACTGTGGGGTTTTGGTGTGTTAGTTTTTTCTTCTTCTCACTCCTCTTTCTTTTCCCCCTTTCTTTCTTGGGGTTTGTTTTGTTGGGTTTTTGGGTTTGTTTTTGGTTGTTGTTGTTTTTGTGGTTGTTTTGGATTTTTTCCCCCCCTTAGGAAACTGTCCTATCATTTCCAAAGCTATAAATCTTTTCGGAAGCAGACTACCTCATTTTTCTCCTGGAGAATAGGTGGTAGTTGGTTGATCTTTACCACACCACCACCAGAGCAAAGAATTAGTATAAACTCATGGGTTTATAGATACACACTACGTAGGTATTAGCAATGGAAAGACTATGAGTTGCATAAGACATGGTCATGCATACAGAACTCTCCTAGCTCTTTCTGAGAGCCTTGAGGTAATGATACTCTACAGCAAAGAGTACATCTAAAATCCAGATCTTGGTTTCTAAAGAGCATTTTACAATAAAAGAAACCTGGACTTCTTGAAGAAGCTGGGGAAGGAAAACACAAAATTTGGCTAAAACATCCTGTGTTAAAAGTAAGGAAGCACTTAAAAAACAAACAAACAAACAAACAACAAAAAAAAACCACCCACAAAACCTAGACCTTGCTCAAAGAACACAGAGCCAACCCCAGGTGTTCCTACTGACCAAAACAGGAGTAAGTCAAGCAACAGAACAAAATACTGATAGTATTTATGCTAAAAGAATATTGAGAAAAAGAATTTTTAGTGCAGATTGATAAAAGTGAGAAGACACAGCTCTTCCTCACATGAGAATTCCATTGCTAATGATCAAGAAATGAGAGACACCACAAAATCACCATTGGAACACCACAGTCACACTGGCTGTAAGCAAAGAGCCACAGAGGAGGTTACAATCAGCCAGCAAATGTTTGAGGAGATAATCTGCATTGTAACAAAGCAAGCCCTTCTTCCCCAAGGTATTTCCAAGGGAAAGAGAGTAACTTTTCCATCTAGAGAAAGTAACACTACCTTCAGCTAAGTGACCAAGTCAATCACCACCAACAGTAATATGCTCTGTTGTCACAAACTTCCTGCCATGAAACACTAAGAAGGACAGACAATATTTCTGTGGTATTCTTGCCAAAAATGCATATAATCTCATTTCAATCATGAGAAAATATCAAAGAAATTAAAATTCAGAGCAGCTTTCTTCAATATACCTGACCAGTATGCTTCAAAAGTGTCAAGGCCCTAGAAAGACTGTCACATCATCATAGGTTGGAGAAGATTAAGGAGTTGGATACCAGAACAGAAAAGGGCTTTGGTGGGAAAATCGGTGAAATTCAAATAAGGTCTTGATTTACGTTAATAGTATTGTACCTTTGGTAATTAGTTCTGATAGATGCACCATAACAAATCATTATGTAACATGATTATGTAAAAATGGTAATACTGGGGGAAGTTAGGCAAAAGGCATGCCAGCACTCTATTCTATTTTTGTGATTTTTATACAACAAAATTAGTTTTCAAAAAGATTTGGGTTTTTAAATGGCATAACAGGTAACAAGCAATAAGACTGCAGGTGAGTTAGGTTCCAAAATCCAAGTCCCATCAGCCCAATGACACCTCCAGGTGGGTTTCTGACAGGAACCTCCAACTCCACAGCCAAGCCACTCCCCGTTTTCTCCTTCTCTGTAAACCTTACGGTATCCTTCCAATCACACCACACGGCCGGACTCCCTCTGCTCTTCTTCCCTCGGGACCCACCCATCAGCACGTACAGCGCGCTCTTTCTTCATGTGCACTCTAAGGTGCCTCACTTCTCACTGCCACCACACTGGAACAAGTTCAGGTCACCTTCACTTCTCTCCTTGACAGCCACACTAATCTCACTTCTGATCCCCATGGCTGCTTAGCTGCTGGGGAAATACTGAAATAGTA